CATCAGGGTGCAGAATAAGTTATTCTTCACCCGAGGTAATCTTACGATCATTTCATAATTAAATTACGTTTCGAATTCAAATAATTACATTCCTGTTGATTAACTACATAAAATTTGACATAAAAAATAAAAATATAGGTCATAAGACAAGAAAATTTATAGTTTATGTGTATTTTAGACTATGTTTTTACATTTGTAATTTTACATAACATAAAATATTTTTTACGGCGGTTATATATTTTCTTACGGTCCCTTTTTACGTTGAAAATAAGACAAAACTTACGGAACGTAAAATTACGGTGCATTGATAGTACAATAGAGGGGGTGAAGAATAACTATTCCTCATCCAGGATGACGAATAGCGCGACTCTCTCTCTATATATATATATACTAATGGGGCACCGTGGCAGAGTGCGTCATTACTAGTTTAAACTAGTAATGGCGCACTTTGCAACAATGCGCCATTAGTAGTTTTGCAAAAAACAGAATAAAAAAATACAGTAGTGGCGCACTCTATGGCTGATGCGTCATTACTAGTTACAACTACTAATGGCGCACTTTGCCCGGATGCGCCATTAGTATGTTTGAAAAAATGAAAAAAGAAATTATTACTTGTGGCGCACCTTGTTCCTGGTGCGTCATTAGTGTCTTCCACACTAATGGCGCATCACCACATAGTGCCCCATTAGTATATAGTAGTGGCGCACCACTTCTCTGGTGCGTCATTAGTGTCAATTTCATCTATAGCCCTTTTTCTAGTAGTGTACGCCAAACTACGCCTAGTCGCCACTGCCACCGCCACCGCCGTCATCGTCGTCTACATGCCGAGAAGCCTGTAGAAGCGGGTGTAGTCGCCGTCGTCGCCATCGTCGCCGTCGTCGTCGCGTGCCTCGCCTGTGCCGCCGTCCCAGCTGCAGCCCTGGCCAGGGCCGCCGACACGAGGTGGGGCGCTGGACGGCCCGACTGCGTCCTCCTCGTCGCTGTCAAGAATGATGACGCCGTCCTCATCGCGCCCACGGCGCGGGCCTGGAGCTCCGCGTACGCTCGTCGATGGCGGCGTACCTGCTCCCGAACGTAGTCCTCCTTCTCCCACTTGAGGACGGACTCGTCGTCGGGGCCACCATCTCGACGTGCTCCGGCTTCACCGGGAGCAATCTCGGCTCCGGCTTCGGCGTCCACCGGCGGGGAGGTCGCCTTTTATAGCCGCAGTCGGGCAGCAACGGGCTTCATGCCGGGCGACGTGTGGCGGGAGAGGGTGGGACGCGCGTCGCGGCGCGTTCACTGTGCCGCCCGTGAGGCATCAATGGAGGCTGACCGTTGCGGCAGCCTTCACATCGATTCCCGCAGAAAACGAGGCGATGAGGGCAACGAAACGGCGTCTCGCTGACTCGGCGGCCCATCCTCTTTCGCGTCAAAAACGCTCACCCCGGCTTCCGGGGCGCCCTCAGCACGCCAGGTTCGGTCTGGATTCGCCGACGCCATTTTTTGCTCAAATCAGCGAAAAACGGACTTATGGAATAGGATTGGACCAAATTTTGGACGCGGCTGGAGATGCTCTAACGTGGCTTGCAGCAGGCGCCGCGTTTCTTCCCCACCCCGCACAAGGTGCCAACCGGAGGAGCCGCGATCAGGGGCGCGCAGGACAAACAAGCCTGACGGAACTGCTTCGATCACCGCCACTGAGAGCTTGCAGGCCAAGCCGAGCTTTCCTTGGCCCGGGGCTCGCCGTGACGTAACGCCTGACGCGCATGACCGAGACCCGCCGGATTATTCTAGATTTGATCGACTGACGAGTGTGCGACCACACTGGCACAGCTAGCCCAGTCCTTCAATGCGTGAGATCCAAGTAGCATACGCCTCTAGATTCTAGAAGGATAATAATCAATGAGTACGTGTCACGCCAGCCGACATGTATTTAACCCCTCCCACCACAGCCCACACATGTAGTACGAGCGGCCGTGCTTCTCCTGGATTTCCTCTCCTCCACCGTACCGATGGCGACCGAGGGCCTCCGGACGCTGCTGGCGGACGCCGCTCGCTCCCCGTGGGGCGTCGCCGGCGCCGCGGCGGCCGTGGCGCTGCTGTGGTTCGCCGCCTGGGTCCTGGAGTGGGCGTGGTGGACGCCGCGGCGGCTGGGCCGGGCGCTGCGGGCCCAGGGAATCACGGGCACCCGCTACCGCCTCTTCACCGGCGACATACCGGAGAACGCCCGGTGCAACGCCGAGGCCCGGTCGCGGCCCATGCCGCGAGGTGACCACGACATCGCCCCCCGCGTGCTGCCCATGTTCTCCAACGCCATTAAGGAGCACGGTAAGCTTTTCAGTCCTGAAATCCTGAAGTTCTTCATTTTTTGTGGCGTCAGGACGAGTAGTGCCTGCGCTTTGAGCCATCTGCTAGCATCGCCTTGCGTCGGAGCATGTGCTTGTTGGGAGATTAACTTAAACTGGGCTGCGCACTAACAGTTGTCGGAACTTCTTTTCAGACGCTTTGAACTTTCCTGATATAAAACCATGTGCTCAATCTAAGCCATTGCTACAGCCAGTTAACGCGGGACCCACATGTCATAATTCTGCTTAACTGACCAATAAAAGCAATTTCGGTTTTTTTTTTTGTGACCCGTTAGTCCTAGATTTGTGGTTTTGTGATACCACAGCCCCAAGAGTAGTGTATTTGTGCAATCTCTCCTTTTCTATTCTTCCAGGGATGTGCTCTGAATCTCTGATACACTGCATAGCATGTTCGGCATGAAAGACAGAAGTCGTATGTTTGTGGGATATTTCATATTTGCGGGCATGTATCTTGCTAGAGCTACTAACAAACCACATCATGCACTTCAATTGTCATATCACAAAATATCTTTCTCGCATTTTTTTAACAGAACAGAATATCTACTGTATCTCCGAATGCAGGGAAAGTGTCCTTCACTTGGTTTGGCCCAACGCCAAGGGTGATGGTTCCAGACCCGGAGTTAGTGAGAGAAATTCTGTCCAACAAGTTTGGACACTTCGGGAAACAGAGGAGCACCCGCATTGGGAGGCTGCTAGCCAACGGGCTTGCAAATCATGAAGGCGAGAAATGGGCAAAGCACCGAAGAATCCTCAATCCCGCCTTTCACCATGAGAAGATAAAGGTACCCGTTCAGTGCAAATTTCTAGTGGCTTCCAATATTTTCTCACTTCGAGTCGCAACATGCATGGGTAAAAAAGATGCAGGATAATGCGCGCTTTTCATAGGCCGATGTGTTTCGTTTGCAGAGGATGCTGCCAGTTTTTTCTGCTTGCTGTGAAGAGATGATTACAAGATGGGAGAATTCGATGTCCGCTGACGGATCGTGTGAGATTGACTTCTGTCCTGAGTTCCAGAATCTTACCGGAGATGTCATCTCGAGAACAGCATTTGGTAGCAATTTTCAGGAGGGGATGAAAATATTCCAGCTGCAAGGGGAGTTAGGTGAACGGCTGATACAGGCATTTCAGACACTTTTTATCCCAGGCTACTGGTAAGTTCTTTTCTTGCACAAAAAACAAAAAATCCTTCGATTTGCAGACATGAGTACTTATAAACTTTATATCACAAGCTCGTAACGTTTCTAGCAAATGGAGTAGTGCACTGCATATATGGTCTGTGACATTTGACGAAAAATAGGTATTTTAGGCACATGCAGTTTAACTCCCCTTAGAGGTGCTCAAATGAAATTTGAAAGGAAACTACTAGACTTTTTTTACAAAGTGAAAAGTTCGTTGAAAAAAAAAGGCTGATCAAAGGAACATTTTGTCTTTCGATGGTAAAGATAAATAGTACTCCATCTTGTAAACTAATATAAGAACTTTTAGATACAGAGCGAGTAGCAACCAAGATTTTCTTTCAAATGCTGACATGTCAGAACATTTTCAGGTTCTTCCCAACAAAGAACAACAGAAGGATGAGAGCAATTGATCGTGAGATCCGCATGATTCTGCGAGGCATTATTGGGAAAAAGGAAAGAGCTATTAAAAATGGTGAAGCTAGCAGCGATGACTTGCTAGGATTGCTCTTGGAGTCAAATATGCAACAATCAAATGGGAAGGCAAATCTAGGACTGAGTATTGAAGATATAATTCAGGAATGCAAGTTATTTTACTTTGCAGGTATGGAGACAACATCTGTCTTGCTCACATGGACACTAATTGTGCTAAGCATGCACCCAGAGTGGCAAGAGCAGGCAAGAGAGGAAGTGTTGCATCACTTTGGAAGAACCACACCAGATTTTGAGAACTTGGGTCGCCTTAAGATTGTAAGTGCGAAATTGATGATAATGTGATGTTTTAAGTTACAACGGTTGGAATAATGTTCTTGATCTTGTGTACTATTTTGCAGGTTACAATGATTTTCTATGAGGTTCTTAGGTTGTACCCGCCAATAACCTTCCTTACGCGAAGAACTTACAAGGCAATGGAGCTTGGCGGCATCAAATATCCGGCAGGCGTGAACCTTATGTTGCCCATTCTGTTTATCCACCATGACCCTGATATTTGGGGAAAAGACGCAAGCGAATTCAATCCACAGAGGTTTGCTGATGGCATCTCAAATGCAGCGAAACATCCGGCGGCATTCTTTCCTTTTGGAGGGGGTCCTCGGATATGCATCGGCCAGAACTTTGCGTTGCTGGAAGCAAAGATGGCTCTGAGCATCATCCTCCAGCGCTTCTCGTTCGAGCTCTCGCCGTCCTACATTCACGCACCGTACACCGTGATAACCCTGCAGCCGCAGCACGGTGCGCAAATTAGGCTGAAGAAGATATGAGCATGCTTTCTCATGGGGCAGTGAATGACTGAATGTTAGCTTTTGGCTGAATAAACATAGCAACTAGTTCATGTTGTAGTCGCAAAAAAATAGGTTTACTTTTGTGTACTCTTTTTTGAAATAACTGAGCGAATTGAGATAGTAGTTTCAGTTGAATTGCTCGTTTGCTTCAGTTCATAATAGTACTGCAGGTCTGTAACTTCCATTCAATGGAACTCCTATCATGATGCTCGCAGAAAAAAAGCTCCTTCTATCAGGCTAAAGAAAAAATGACACTGAAAAGTCTTTCTTACACTGGAGTTGTTTACCAGAAATTGTCTGCATTATAACTGTGCTCAATCAAAACTCGGCATGAATCCAAAGGGAGAAAAACAAACCTGGAGATAGTAGTTTCATGTATGCACTAAAGAAGAATTAATTATAACCATGCTCAATCAAAGCTCAGCATGAATCAAAGGGAGAAAAACAAACCTGGGGATAGTTGTTTAATGTATGCACTAAAGAAGAATTAGAATACAGATAAAGCTCAAGAATGCCTTCCATAGATCGAATTCGAAGCTTAAAAAAACCAACTGGACAAAAAAGAATGATATCCCACTATACAACGACTGTAGGTATGCCTTTTGTCTATCAAGTTGACAAACTGCTAGTATTCGCGAAAAAAAGGGGCACACAAACCAAATACATATGTAAAATGGGAAATTATAGGTAAATTTGTGAAAACTTTGATGTACTTCCATGCAACAGGAGCAACAGCTAAAATTTACATATTACAGTTTTTTTTCTAAGAGACCAAGGATTACAATCTTTTCATGGGTATGAATCCTACACAAACAATTGGACATTCACGCACCCTTGTTCTAGCATTTGCGCAAAACAGACTTAGGGGGTGTTTGTTTCTAGGGATTTTTTGGTGTAGGGACTAGAAAAAGTCCCTCTTAAAGACTTTTTAACCAAACAGGAGGGACTACTAGGGACTAAAAGTTGCTTTTTGGGACTAAATGAAGAATACTCTCAAGGAGAGTCTTTTTTGGGACTTTTCCAATAATATCCCTTCATGCACCCATTGGCCCGCCGCCCCATGGTGTTGTTGGTTGTTATTTTTCTGTATACTAGGGGTAACATGGTCATTTAATAACCTCTAGGGACGGACTAGGGACTTTTTACTCTTTGGAAACAAACAGGGAGAGACTTTTTAGTTGGGACTAGAAAAAGTCCTAGGACTTATGAACCAAACAGGGCCTTACACGCTGTTTTAACTGACTGGTATGCAACTGAGTTTAGATGCAGGTCACCACAATAAAGGTGTCATTAGCAGAAAATCACCCCTTTGCAATCTGTGGCAAACTTTACCGTACGCAAAGACCAACACTGGCAAACAATACTGATGATAAATGTTAATTGCTTTGATGACGTCACTAATTGTTCGAGCCCGTCAGTCAGACTGAGTTGGCAAAAAAAGTGCCACGAGGGCACCTGTTGAGTGTGCCGAGGAGCTGTGCCAGTCCGCCGTGGGCATGGCACTGGCTTGTAGAGCCATCTCCATCATCCTCCTCCCCCTCCTTCCCTACCGCTACCGGCCAGGGTTCGCATGGAAGCCACCCAAGACCGACGCCACGACGGCCCAGTGCCTGCACGCGAGCCCTCCCATCTGCTCCCCTCACCTCCACACCTCTGCCTCCCTATCCGACGCATTGCACCGCCTAGACAATGAATCGGTCAGGGCTGCAGGGCAATAAGCCAATAAACATGGTGATTCCAATTTGGCACTTCAGGCGCCCATTTGTATGCAGGCGTCTGAAGTTCCTCCGCGCCGGGCCGGCCCAACTCCCCTTCTGTTATCTGTTTTTTGAAAACGCAAAAAACTGCGCCCATAGAGTGAATCTAACCGGTGACCTCCCACTTCGAGGGACGCTGCACTAACAACACGGCCACTTAGCCTGACCTAATAAGTTGCAGCTTTTTCATATTTTCTTCTTGCTTCTTTCCCTTTTCCTTCTTTCCTTTTTCATTCTTTCCTTTTTTTCCCTTTTTCCTTTTCTATTTTTTCTTCTTACTTATTCGATGAAAAGAATCAATTTTGTGAACATATTTTTGAAATCGATGAATTTTTTCAAATTCGATTCACTTTTTCTATTTTTCGTTGAACTTTTTCACTTTTTGATGAGTTTTTTTTTCAAATTCGATGAACTTTTTTCAAATTTATCAACTTTTGTATTTTTGAACTTTTTTAAAATCCATGAATATTTTTGAATTCATGTTTTTTATCGATT